TCCTCCTCCTCCTCCTCCCGGCTCCTCAGCGGCGCAGAGCAGCAGCGGCAGCGGCGGCGGCAGCAGCCACCCATGTCTGCGGCTCCCGAGAAGCAGCAGCCGCCGCTCGGCGGAGGAGGAGGCGGCGGAGGGGGCGGCGCGGCCATGGACCCTGCGGCGTCGGGCCCGGCCAAGGCCAAGAAGACCAACGCGGGCGTGCGGCGGCCGGAGAAGCCGCCCTACTCCTACATCGCGCTCATCGTCATGGCCATCCAGAGCTCGCCGTCCAAGCGCCTGACGCTCAGCGAGATCTACCAGTTCCTGCAGAGCCGCTTCCCCTTCTTCCGCGGCTCCTACCAGGGCTGGAAGAACTCGGTGCGCCACAACCTGTCCCTCAACGAGTGCTTCATCAAGCTGCCCAAGGGCCTCGGGCGGCCCGGCAAAGGCCACTACTGGACCATCGACCCGGCCAGCGAGTTCATGTTCGAGGAGGGCTCGTTCCGCCGACGGCCGCGCGGCTTCCGAAGGAAGTGCCAGGCGCTCAAGCCCATGTACAGCATGGTCAACGGGCTGGGCTTCAACCACCTCCCCGACACCTACGGCTTCCAGGGCTCTGCCGGGGGCCTCTCGTGCACACCCAACAGCTTGGCGCTGGAGGGCGGCTTGGGCATGATGAACGGCCACCTGGCGGGCAACGTGGACGGCATGGCGCTGCCCGGCCACTCGGTGCCACACCTGCCCTCCAACGGCGGCCACTCGTACATGGGCGGCTGCGGGGGCTCTGCGGCCGGGGAGTACCCGCACCACGATGGCTCGGTGCCCGCCTCGCCGCTGCTGCCGGCCGCGGCCGGCGGGGTCATGGAGCCGCACGCCGTCTACTCCAGCTCGGCCGCGGCCTGGCCGCCCTCGGCCTCTGCGGCTCTCAACAGCGGGGCCTCCTACATCAAACAGCAGCCTCTGTCTCCCTGCAACCCCGCGGCCAACCCCCTGTCCGGCAGCCTCTCCACGCACTCGCTGGACCAGCCCTATCTACACCAGAACAGTCACAACACCCCCGCCGAGTTGCAAGGTGAGTACCGAGCCCCATCCTTGGGCAGAGTATGTGCCCAGACCCTGACTGCCTTGGGGGAACCCAGCTCCAGCCCGAGAGTACCAGCTCCCCTCCGAGGGTGCCAGCTCCAATCCGAGGGTGCCAGCTAGCTCCCCTCCAAGGGTACCAGCTCCAATCTGAGGGTACCAGCTCCCCTCCAAGGGTACCAGCTCCAATCCTAGGGTACCACCTCCGCTCCGAGGATACCAGCTCCCCTCCCAGGATACCAGCTCCACTCTGAGGGTACCAGCCCCAACCAGGGTGCCTCTGAGTCTCACCTTTCCCCCTTTGAGGAATCAGAGCAGTTTGCCACCCCCAGTTTATGCTGGTTACATTTCTTTCTCTTCCAACTTCCCGGTAGGTGCTGGCTGCCCCAAGGCTGGTGGCAGGCCCCATTCTTGCTGAAAAGGCCCAGACCCCCATAATCTAAGTGTTTGTAGGCTCCTTAACTCCTCATAAAGGCCTCGGCATGGAGACAGGAGCCCAGGCCTGGCCCAGGAGTCCCACCTTCCTGATAGTCCCCTGAAGCGAGCCTGGAGAGGCCAGAACGGAAGAGTTAGGCCCAAAGCAGTCAGGGCCGGCAGGCGCTCAATCGGAGGCTCAGCCCAGGCCCCTTACGAAAGCTGCCCTGATGCTGAGTCCGGGAGTGTTTTGTGGTGACAAAGACTGGGTAACGTGCTGGCCAAGCCTGGAGGGGGTTCTGAGCGGCAGACTCCCAACTCCTTGTCTCGGGGATCCAGGTTTTCAGGTCCTTCAGGCCCAGCTCCAGATTTGCACCCCACTGTGAAAGAAGACCCTGGCCTCAGCCGCCCTCCCCCATGAGCTGCCTTCTCCTGGGCCAGGTTCTGGAAAGAGAAGGGGTAGAGGGGCAGTCGGGGGTCAGCTGTCAGCCCTGGGAGGCAGGGCCCTGGGCTGGAAGGGGAAGGCTGCCTCTCCACCGGGGTTGCTCTGCTCCTTTTTTGTGGTTTTTTTTTTTTTTTTTTTTTTAATCCCGTTCCACCCCACCCTGGACGCCTGTTCTCCTGGCAAGCCTTCTGGGGTAAGGCTTGTCCCTGGCTGATGGCCCTGTCGCTTGCTGACCCCACAATGGAACTAGTAGAGGTGGCAACGGGCCTTCCTTACTGGCCTTCTGCTGCGGCTTCCAGGAAGCCCCCTGCCAGGCAGTGTCCCAGGCCAGAGAGGCCCAGCGGGTCCCGGGATGCACAGCGAGGGGCCCTGCTGGGATATCTGTTCTGTCTCTACCAAGGGATGGGAGCCCCAGGGATTCTGGTTGCCGGACAGGCAGTGCTGGGGCTTGGAGGGCTTGCGCAGGAGCCGGGCTGACCTGCCTCTTGTACCCCAGGTCGGCCAGGCTTCTCTGCCCTGAACTCTGGCCCCACATGCTAATGATTGTGTCCCCCCCATCCCCTGGCTGTCACCTCACCCCACAGGCATCCCAAGGTATCACTCACAGTCGCCCAGCATGTGTGACCGCAAGGAATTTGTCTTCTCTTTCAACGCCATGGCGTCTTCCTCCATGCACTCAGCGGGTGGGGGTTCTTACTACCACCAGCAGGTCACCTACCAAGACATCAAGCCGTGTGTGATGTGAGGCTGCGGTCTGGGCCGGCCCGGGGACCAGGAGCTCACCACCACAAACTGCTTTATTCTTGAGGTATAGCCTTCAGGGCAGAAGGAAAAGGGTCTGGCCCCTCCGTAACCGGAATATTTGGAAAGAAACTCCCAACACAGAGACCGGCGCTATGGTCAAGCGGCTCTTTCCTCTCCCAGTCCTTCACAGCGTCCTAAAAACTGGTGACTGTGGGGCCTGATCAGACCACAGCTGTCAGTAAATACCTGTTTTCAACTCTATTGAACTGGGCTGCCAAGGTGTTGTGTCCCGCTACGTGGAAAGAATTCTGCCAAGGTCCCCCACCCTCCAGCAGCAACCGCGAGGGAGGATTTTAGAAGAAACTCCAAGTGAGACCAGTCATTATCAAACACTTTTATTTCTGGTTAAGTATTTATCTTTGAATTTTAAACTTTTTGGAAAGAATGTCTTGGAACGCACAAGTCTCCCCTAGAGCCGTCCTTTTATTTTTCTGGGAGGAGGGAGTGGCATCCCGTCTCCCCACCCGGGGCTTCGCCAGTAATTACAGGTGGATCTGTGCGAATAATGTGCAAATCTGAAGCCGCTGTTTGTCTTTTAAAAAGAAAACAGGAGCCAAGAATGGGCCGGTTGTCCCGGGCCTCTGTCCCCCCCGCACTGTCCTTCTCCTTGAGTTTCGTTTTCAGTTACATCTTGACTTTTACAGTGAGTGTTTTTCTGTCTTCCAATCTCTACTGGAAACTTTCCGGAAGGCGAGCGAGATGCCTGGACGTGAAGGCCGGTGCCGGGCAATGCTTGCCGGGCAATGCGGTTAAGGCACTTTGAGGACCGTAGGCAGGCTCATCCCATTATTTATTCTGGTTCCCCCGCCCCCCAATAATCAAAACACCACGTAGCTCCTCTGTTTATCAGTATTAATGGTGTAACTTTGTTGGCAATATTTGCCGTGTAGAGTGTTTTTTTTTTTTTTTTAGCTATCCATTGTAAATTTGAACAAAGACCGATCCGTGTAAAAACAAATTTCCATATGTTTTATATAAATATGTCTAATATGAAAGGCTGTCTCCTTTTAGTATTCCGGCTGCAGAGGTGCAGTCTTTGTGACACATACTTTAAATTTCCTTCTGCGCTGTATAAAAGGACAATCTGCGGGTGATCTGCTTGTGTATTTTTTTCCTAAAAAAAGAACAAAAATAAAAAATGTATGACATTTGTACATGGCCTGTGAAACCGTCTCAAGTACAGGTAAAGTCGCGTGGCTGCGTCGTCAGGGCTGTGACCAGTGCCAGTTGGCTAGAAAGAAAAGTTTTGGATTTCTGGATTTACAAAAAAAAAAAAAAAATTCAATCCGGGGAATCTGAATTTTTTCTTCTCACCCCACCCGCCCCAGCTAATCTTCCTGTAGTCTCTCACCGAAGAAAAATCTGTATAAAGGTAGCTATTTTTCTTGGCTTCGGGCTTTTTAAGAAGAGTCCTCTGTCCCTCGAAATGTCATTTCTCAATCTAAAGAAATAATCAAAGATTAAAAAAAAAAAAACAAAACTGTAGTCTTACATACCAGGGAAAACCAAGAATTTGTGTGCGCACACACAATCTATATGTATATGTGTATGTTTATATATAATATTTTTTGCCAAAACTCAATGGGAGTTTTATCCCAGACATCTGCCTTGGCCTACCCTAAACTGTTATAATGAGGTGACTTCAAAGTTTTCTTTTTTGTCTTATTTTTCTATTTTTTTTAACACCTGAATCTTGTTCTTTCCCAATAGGCTGTGTAAAATCCCGCGAGGAAGGGACGCTTGGGCACCCAGGGCCCACGTTTGTGCCTCTAACATATTTTCTCTGTATAGCGTTGTCCTGCCTCTTTCTGGAAACAACAAACTGCTAAGGTTGGGTCTCCCTTGACTCGATCACCATCCACTCACCTAGGAAAACAGACACAGTAAGCCACGTTGTTGATGCCCCGCCGTGTGTGCTGACCCACCGCAGTGAGCGCTGGGGTCGAGTTTCAGAACCTGCTTCTTCTCAGTTTGACATTCTGGACGGGAGGGTAATTTCTCCTGGTGCTCTGTTACATCAAAATTATCAATAAACTCGTCCCGGCAATTAATGTCCCAAAGTAACTTCTGTCTATAAAATCCAGATAAAGAGGACGGGCTTAGGCCAGAGGCCCCTTTGCTGAAGAGCTGGGGCTGTAGCAGCATCAGGCTGCGGGGCTGCGGACAGTGCTGCGCTGCCCTGCCTGGCCGTGAAACCAGGAGCAGGTTCGAAGCCAGAGGAGAGACTCCGAGTTTGGGACCTTCTGCCTCCCACTGGCCACAAAAGTGGGTCCAGAGAAAAGCCCTTAGGCTTGCAGTGCAGGCTGGACCTGGGACATTCCTCTCGGTGGTCCACTGCTCCCCAGTTGGGATCGGCTTTGGGGAACGCACTGATGTGGAGCCCAGCATTGTCCCAGCTCTCCCAGGCATCCTGTGGCAGTCTCCCCAACACCAACAGGACCCACCAGGCATGGGCATCACTGCAGGCCTCTGTGCCCATGGCATTGGTGGCCTGGATCCTTGTCCCAAGGTCAACCTACGAACATCGCTGGCACATCTCCAGGCTCATGTCTCTCTCAGTTTATTTCCTAGCTCTCCCGCACCCAGGTCCAGCTGGGTGGGAGGCACCCAGAGGCTTCCTGAAGGAGAGCTGGCCGGGTTTCCCTGGGGACCAGGCCTGGTCTCTGTCTCCCGGCCTGATCTGCCTCCTTCGGATGAAAGGGAAAGTTCGGCCTTCCCAAGAGGGCCTGGCTCCAGGCAAGCCGGGAAGGGCCGGAGTCCACAGGCCAGATTGCCTCGCACAGCCTGAAGTTTCCTGCCACTGCAGCGGGCATACACTCTGGTTGGACTGGGTTTTCTCCAGGGCTCATTTCTGCCTGGGCTCTCACAAAGGATGCGTGAGAAGCTCCCACACCATGCCCACAAAGCAAATGGGACACGTGCATGTTCCGTTTCCCAGTGTGGAGGCGCTTACTCGCTAATGGGGACCCAACATTTTAGAATGTTTTCACTATCTGTTCTGACCCCAGGGGATTAGCATAACCATAACCACCACCACCACCACCACCACCACCACCACCACCAAGGGCCTGGAGGAGGACAGGTGTCAGGGAGATATGAAGTCCACCCAGTGAATGGATTGTTCCTCCACACCACAGTTATCCATGGTGGACGATCTGGGCACAGTGGAACAACAGCCACCAGGCACAGTAAAAGCTCCTGGGCAAGGGCTCCCCAGAACTGGGAGAGGATTGTCTGGCCTAGATAGGAAGGGCTTTCCCTGGAACCCACACCGGGGCCCCAGTCTGCCTGCAGTGCCTGGGGCTAGAGGGCAACCCGGGTGTTTGCTCTGATGTGAAGGCACCTGGCCCAAGGAGGCGCCCTTGGTCTGCTGTTTTCTTTTCTGTTTGGGATTGAAGGGTCCAAGCAGGGAAAGGTTGACCATGCACCAAAGCCCGGCTCCCTGCCTGCCGGCCACCCACCAATGACAATATTCCTAGGAGGGAGTAGAAAGACTGAGCTGGAGTCCTTGCCTGAGGTCACCTGGCAAACCAAGCCCTGGGTTTCCTGGGCTCTGATATGTCCCAGTAGAAAGGGGCAGTATGTCCTCCCTGTCACCCAGACAGGAGTGTGGTCGCTTTCTTACCCTGGGGATCTGGTGGTATGTACTTGGGGCCCTGTATGTGATAACCACATTTTCCAGGAGTCCCTGTCTGGGGACTTTCTGTAAGCGAGTAGCTTGGGAACAGCTGAACAGTGGGTTTGGGCCTGGGGCTCCCACACAGACCAGCATCCTAACCTGGCACTACTGGGTAGGTGAGGCTGGTGTCCCTAGCCGTGGTCCAAGGTAGGGAGGAGGGGGAGCCCAGCTTTACCTCTGTTGGTGGCTGTGAGCCCAGGAGATCCATAGCCCTGACTGGGGGTTCTGCCCTAGAGGACGGCTCTTGGGAGGAGGGACAGGGAATCCAGTCTCTACAGCTTCCCTGGGGTCCTGATGAGTGCTGAAGTGTGGGCTCCTCTTCTGAGTCCTCTCCACCCAGAGCGGACCCTGGTGAGGTGGCTGGCCCTGGCCTCTGCTGCCCTCTCCTGCCCGCCTGAGGTCTGGCTCACAGGAAGAACTCAAAAGGGCCTGAAGCCTGGCAGATGTGACACCTCAGTGTGTCCCCACAGCATCCCCTAGGTGGCATTCACTGCTCTCCCCCAGCCCCAGGTGTGGCAGCTGAGCTCAGAGAGGAAGGCAGCTGTGGTTCCAGGGATAGAATAAGCAGGAGGTGGGGTTTAAACGGGCTTAATAACCCCAGAGCCCCACAGCCCAAAAGAAATGTTGGCGTGGAGTTGCCAATCCAGCTGAAGCCAGCATCCACTCCACACACAGGTTCTCAGACCCTGCCCACTGACTTCCCTGCCAGGGTCCCCAGGGTCCCCAGTGCCCACCCACGGCTCTGTGGAAACAAATTTCAAGCAAAAGTTGACACTGAGCAGAGGGCACAGTGGGGTACGGCTGCCTGGTAGAGTCTCTCAGATCTGGGTTGGGGTAAGGAGGGAAACCCTCCTTCAAACCCTGGGCAAAGCCCTGGTGGGGGAAGTGTGAGGCCACTGGGGGCAGTGGGGCTGTTGCCAGTCCCTGGGAGGCTCTGGGCTCCTGTAGATAATGGGTCTTTGGCCATGAGCTCTTCCTTTGTGCCTCCTCCCCCTCCTCCCC